ACAAGTGTAGCTACTACCCCCCTGTTTTGCAGTTACGACACTGCACTGCAGCCAGGTACCCCTGCCGCCTCTTGGACGGGGCGAACTGGTCGCGGATGAAGCCAGTCGGCGTCTCGTGCTCGTGCGAGTCGCGCGCCCTAGCACCGTTTTCTCTTGGGCAAGATGTAGTCGAAAAGCCATCGGGGGTCCTCTCTCGGCTGGGACCCTGACGCCACCGACGCAGCCGAGGAACGTTGCGTCGCGACGGTCGGTTTACTTTCCGTCTTCGGTATTTTATCTCTCTATCTCACGTACCGGTGGCATCGAAGGTGTCGCTGTTAAATCGCGTGTACCGTTAATCGGTCCATCGGGACGCTTAGCGGACTGACTAACACCAAGGGAACGTATTATTGTCGTTATTATTATTATTATTGTCGTCATTATATTACATTTATTATCGTTGTACGTACGTGTGCCGTAACGGGCGTCGCGAGATCCTCGACATTTGTTTACGATCGACGCCGCACCGGATCGTTCGTGGGAAAGGTAAGAGCTGTTTCGCATGGAGGAGGGAGAAGTTCGAGAACCTATTAATCACGCTTTTTCTTCCGTAAGCCTTTCAGAACCGCTTCCATGTAGCAACCCCTTGCGAGCTGGCGAGTGCCACTTCGCGCGTTAGTCCTCTCTGTGTAGCGGCTTGTTTCCACCCCTTTCAAGGGGGTGTGCGCGACCCGTAGGGTCAACGCGATTACGTCCTTAGTACCCTGCCACCGTGGGATGTAAAATTGTCGCACTCTGTCAGCTCTTCGCAGCGCGGGCATTACAGTCGTTTCTAGGTGAAGACAGAGTAAGCACTGCGAAGAGTTAATGCAGAGATTTTTATTGAGAGTACAAGTACGATGTACTTACTATTTTACCGTATTCCCAATGATGCTGAAGTTACCCAGATGTTAGTGAAAGAGCCACAGACCTAATGTTTTTTCGTACAACTGTTGCGATACATTTTTTTATTGTACTGTTCGTAGCAGAAATAGATTCTTCCTTGTTTACAAGACCTTAGAGACTCCCATTGACCTTTTCAATTTACTCCGCAATTCATCTTCGCATATAATGCTCCAATTGTCTACTTCCGTCTAAAAGAAATCGTTAAAGAAAGAAAGTTTAAGTATCTCCAAAAGCTTTTCCTACGAATAGTAGTCACGTCGAAAAATCAACAAACTTCTCTTAAAGTCTTCCTGACTCTTCGACGTTCATTCTGCGCGTTAAAACCGATGCACCATTAGCGTCGCCGGGTCCATTTAGCGAATCATTAGCGTCGTCACGATTACCTAGGGTAGCGAGAGGGGGAACTATTATTGCCGTTATTGTGCCCTGAGAACGGTATCGCGTCGCTGACTAGTTTATGGCTGATGTCGTTCAGGACGAAGATCCCCTGGAAGAGGCAAGGGTAGAAGACTGGTCGTCGTGCACCCTTTTATCGATTTCAATTTTCCCCGTCCGTGGGATCCAGCGTCCCTCTCGGTTTTTCCGTGCTCTGCCACGCACCATTGTAAAATTAACCCTTACGTTGTATCGTGCCTAATCAAAAAGTACAGTCGAGGCAATGAAAAGCTACAGGATCTTATATTTGTCGCAATACTTACTCTCGTAACCACTATATTAACTCTTTTCTGTCCTGTGTCGAGCGAGACTCGAGACTACTGCAATCAGGAAATCTTTCGTGGAAAGGTTTTCGATAATAATTCCATCCAGTTCCTTTGTAGGAGGTCCCTGTGACGGTCAACCTGTTAAAATGGTGGCTGCGACGCATCACGGGCGGAGGACATTCTTCTCGGTAGCGTCTCTCATCTCGAGGCTGATAACGATCACCTCCGATTGGTCGTATTGTAAACAGTTGTTTGCGTCCAAAAATTGTCACCCAAGGGCGGGAGTCGCTGTGGCTGGTTGTAGAATCGCTCGTGGGAGGAGAAATCGATTCGCGTCGTCGTGAAATTCGTCGTTAATTGAGCTCGTAACGTTGTTACTATAATTTACAGGCTACGTGCTCGCGCGTACCGAAGCGTGTTTACGACCGCTGCTGAATGGAGACTTTCATTGCACCCGTTTTATCGATCTTGTAACTCTCGTCTGCATCGTCTACCTTACAGCTATTCCTGCATCTCGGAGATGAAGGGAATTGCGCGTAATTTTGTTGGCACTGGGAACAGTTGTTATCATATAAGAAACTTTTCTCTTGAACATGATTCTCTTTGTCTGAAAACAAGGAAAAAAGACCAATATAAATTCACTAAATTCTATAACTTGTACATATATGCGTACATAATGTACGAATGCTAAGTATGAAGTCCTATTTCCGTTCACCCATCGATCATCAATTTTCACGAGCTTTCATGGCAATGATTTCTTATTGAAGGTCCGTGGCCTGTCGAGTTCCTATAAAGTTGGGATGTTATCAAGTAGCTTACCCACGGTGAGCCTTCCTTTATCGATGGCCATCCATGTATTTGTTTACGGCGTTCTTTTACAGCTTCCCTTTTCGCCTGCCCCGTAAATTCATTCTTCGAATTCTGTCTCTCTGGATTAAGAGTAATGCAACTGCATACTACGCGTTACGTTGTAGTGAGATTAACGAGCTCCATTTTCCGTTGGAATGTCCCGCAAGTAGAACTGATGAAGACGCAGAACCCGCAAGCATTTTTCTCTGCTGTAACGTCGGGTGCTTAGATTAAGTTTTAAGCGAGACTACTTTGTCCTCGAAGTCCCCAATAATCTGCACTGGGCTATAATCTTGATTTAATCTGGAAAGTTTGGAAAATTGCTTCGACTTTGTTAAATTAAGTAGCCTCGAAAAGGACCTGTCGCCTTGGTTGGCAATGTTTGACGAAAAAAGTTATTAGGTAAAATTGAGAACGCGCGATCGAATCGCTCATCGGTTACCTGTCTGCGAACTCGAAAGCTTTTAAGCTAATGAAGAAATGAAAATAGATGATCGAAAGGTCGATCGAGGACCAAAGTAATAAAGAAGCAGACGAACCAAAATTCAATGTAACGTAGAACGACAGTCAGATACTGAGAAATTATTTTGGGTACTTTGGAATCAGGTTGATTTAAATTATTAATGAACCGTTACAGGAATCTGAATCGATAACACTTCGAGTGGAAATACGCGGTAAGAAACGTCACGCTTAAAGGGCACGAATGGCTTCAGTTATTATCTTCAACTACTAAACAATCAATTCAATCAGTATTTGTTAATTGAGAAGACTTACTTTTATCTAAGAGCCAATGAAAATCGAATAATAGTCTTGGATCGAGATATATTAATCTAAATTGTAGTCGTCGTTTCGCGACTGTACCACATATTTGCACCTGGAAGCCTCTAATTAAGAACGGAACGATGCAAAGGGCGTAATGAACGTTTACTCTGCAAAGCTTCGCGAGCGAGCACTGTTCCAAAGAATGGGTTCCTTTTCAAATATTTAACCGCACGTCAAAGGCATGCATCGGTCGCGTAATTCCGAAGCGAAGTATTCGCGATAACGAGCTGCAAATTTTACGCAATAATAGCCAAAGCAATCGTTATTCAAACATTGCGTCCATTGTTTCGCGTTTCATTGAGGGAACAATAGTTACGCTCGATTGTCTGTATTTATTATTCAAATTCCTTTTACATTATGGTCCACCATTAGTGATGCTTAAACGTATCTCAAAGGATTATTCAAAATTTCGAAAATTATGGACTTTACAGTTGTTCGAAAATCAGTTCTGTTCAAGCGTATACTTCTTTCAAAAATTGTAGCTCTCGAACTAATAGACTAACCGAGAGACTAACTTTTGGTAATAATATTTTATGGTGTACACGAGGGGCTGAATTATCAATTCGCAATTATAAACTTCGTCGATCAGCTTCGAAAATCGGTCAAGTTAGGTTTCATGCCTTAATATAACTATAAATGATGTATGGTACATCGACGACCCTCGCGTCGTATTAGTTACGAATATAGCGGCCTGTTAGCTCGATGTCAAAGTGCTGGAACGAATGAAGGCACATAAATGGGTCAGACTAACATTTTCTTTTTATGAAATATTGACGTTGATAGGGGACTGACTGTGAAATTCAATTACGCCGCGGAAGCCTTAGCGGACATTTGATATTTCATGTGCACAATACCTTGGACGCTTTGAAAAGCTCACCTTAAAAGGGATGAAAGCGTCGGGGAGGTCTTTGCTCCTGAAATTGCGTTGTGTCGTTACGTGGATTCGATAAATAACACACGATGAAAAACAACAATATCGCCCACCGTTTGTCGATATCTTTTTTCAATAACAGGGTGCCCCAGATAATGCATTGCGCAATTTTAATCACCCTGATATTTTTAAACCGTCTATCGAAGTAAAGCGTACTCGCAGTAACAGCTGAACGACGGAGTACTTCGTACGTTACTCGACCGAATATTTGTATAACTACGAAGAGGTAATCGTGATTACTAACGCTATTAATTTCAAACAGAGAATTAAAAGCAATTCAAACTCTTAATAACCTAAAGTGATTACGCGAATTTTAATATTACGCTCGAGAAGTTGTGAATATCGTGCTCCAGGATTCATTAATTACACCGTGGCAATTTGCCCGAGCTATTAATTATATTTCGAAAAGATTAGTTGCGCGTTACGCTACATCGTCATCGTTAATCAAAAGTCTTCATCTTTTAACGAATACTCTGACGAAGAATGATGATTTTGTTCGTGGCACTTTTTGAACGTGGTTCGCTATAGATATCCTTGGATGTTCGTTTGTATCTGACGATACAATTAATTTAATTTAATTTTTTAATTCCAATATCTTGCTCAGAAAATGGTTGCGGAAAAGTACGACAGACTCGAGCCTGAGCTGAAGGAAGAGCTTAGGACGATCGCCCAGCAGATCGTCGCTCCTGGAAAAGGAATCCTCGCTGCTGACGAATCGACAGCGACGATTGGCAAGCGTCTTCAGTCCATTAACGTTGAGAACAACGAGGAGAACCGTAAGGCATACAGGCAGCTTCTCTTTACAACAGCAAAGGTATTGCTTCGAATTGAACCTAATAAAATCTACTAAAATCCACACGTATTCATAAAGGATCGTTAAATTCATTATTATACTCACATTTAAAAATTCTTTCACGAAGGATGTCATCAGCCAGCACATCTCTGGCGTGATCCTCTACCACGAGACCCTGTACCAGAAGGCTGACGATGGAACCCCATTCGTCGAGTTGCTGAAGCAACGTAACATCCTCCCAGGAATTAAGGTCGACACTGGTGTCGTGCCTCTGTTCGGCACCAACGACGAATGCACGACCCAAGGTCTCGACAATCTTCAGGCTCGTTGCATCCAGTACAAGAAGGACGGCTGCCAGTTCGCCAAGTGGAGATGCGTGTTGAAGATCGGGAAGGACACCCCGAGCAAGTTGGCCATTTTGGAGAACGCCAACGTCCTGGCTCGCTATGCTTCCATTTGCCAGAGCGCCAGGATCGTGCCCATCGTCGAGCCTGAAATCTTGCCCGATGGCGACCACGACCTTGCTCGTTGCCAACAGGTCACGGAGGAAGTACTAGCTGCTGTCTACAAGGTGGGCAGAGTGTTCTAACATCAAGTTCTTCTGTAGTAATTATATTATGTGTCTAATACTATCGTGATATGTTTTTTTTTTCAGGCGCTCTCTGACCATCACGTGTATCTCGAGGGAACCCTCTTGAAACCGAACATGGTAACACCAGGTCAGAGCCACCCCAAGAAGGCAGCTCCTCAGGAGATTGCTGGTGCCACGGTCACCGCTTTGTTGCGCACCGTACCGCCTGCAGTGCCCGGCATCACTTTCCTCAGCGGTGGACAGTCCGAGGAGGAGGCATCCGTAAACTTGGACGCCATCAACAAGTATCCGTTGAAGAAACCATGGGCACTGACCTTCAGCTACGGTCGTGCACTCCAAGCGTCCGTCCTCCGTGCCTGGGCAGGCAAGAAGGAACAGATAGCAGCTGGCCAGGATGAACTCATCAAGAGGGCTAAGGTAACTTCGAGGCCAAGGTTTCACATTTTAATGTTGTGATATCCTATCGCATAGTTTGCATACATTTATTTAACTTATCGTTGTTTGTTCCATTTTCTATTCTGCCTCTCTAGCCTACCTTGTTCTACTTATTCTGTGTTTCTCTACACTTTAACTATTTCTCACTCGTTCGATGTTTACTTTTTTTGAATGTGTGCTTTCTATTTCTTTGTATCTAATTCATTTTATTTTCGATCTATTTATCTTTTATATTACAGATTTCCGACTTTTATTTTTACTTTCTGTATGTTTCTTTTAACACCTTTTTTTTGCATGTGTATACCTTGTGTGCTTCTTTAGGCAAACAGCGCAGCTAGCCAAGGCAAATATGTCCCTGGCAGTATTGTCAGCAAAGCTGCTAATACGTCTCTGTACGTGAAAACTCATGCCTACTAAATTCTTACTTTTCTTTTCGTGAGACATGTTTTCATAGTAAGTATCGTAAGTTACATCTTCGTTTATTTTTCATTCCTTTATATTATGTAGATACTAATATGCTTATTTTAAACATTGTTACTATCAGTTATTACTGTCAACTAATTCCTCTGTCTTATTGTACTTTGCTATAACGATGATTACAATAAAACAGAGTTCGAAAGAATACAACAATCCACTTAAACACAAATTCTCTTTTTTACAGGCCAACAGCGAATCGGCACTCGGCAAATACGCTGGTGGCGTGACAGGAGCAGCTGGCGACGCCGCGCTTTTCGTCGCAAACCACGCGTACTAAACTTAGTCCTTAGAAACATCCATAAGGATATTTTCGTTAGAATTTAGATCGTTCGCCGAACATCATCAACGTCGATCACCGTTGTCAGCATGGAAACATTACCAACAAAAAAAGAAGACGAAGAACGGGCTAAGACTTTCAACATGCCTCGAAACGCGAGCGCGCATATCCTCCGTGGAGTTTTTACTTTTCAATTGGAAACAAAATCAATCGAATTTTAACCTTGTCGCGATAATTGGATTTTCTAAATAATTTTAAAACACGAGTTTGAACGCTTTAAGCCGAGGAACACGCCGCGTATCGATGCGAGACAAAGTCGTGTGGTCGCTCAGGTTCATGTAACATCAGATGACGCTGTTGACCACGATCGATCGGTCGTCGTTTTTATCGTATCTTAACGAGCGAGGTGCGAACGATTATCCCTTTCCTGCTTTCACACTTTCCGATTTTATCCTCTTGCGCTGTCCTTCGACTGCTTTCCTCATTTTCATCCTCGCTCTTGTATTCGGTTTCTCTAGAATCACGAGACGCGACGGAGAGTGTATAACGCATGTAGTATCGCGGTGTTCGTTCGCTCCGAGCTTGTTTCGAAACGAGAACAGAGGCTTCACCTGTGGAATCTCTAAAGATCTGTAAGAACTCCGAAAGAACGTGGTCATCACGCGCCCACATGCCTACTGGGCGAAGTTGATCGAGACGAAATATGCTTTACTCTGATCGTGAACAGATTTCGCGACATTCGAATTACGCACTCGTTATTATATTCTGTAAACACTACGGTAAAAAGCAGATATATATTATATATTGTCAATGTCGTTATGATATTCTACGTGTAAAAAAAAAATAACAAAAAATGATACAAAAAAAAAACAAAATAAAACCATATTAAATGTTGTTTGTTAGCGAATGAGTCAAATATTATGAAGTCGTAATATTGTCATCTACTTATACAATATGGGTATCTTACATAGATATTTAAGTAACGTATTGAAAAGTATCTCGTACATCGATGTTATACCTAATATTTTCATTGCAATCTAGGTCACCAAATACACTGTGGAGGGTAATCAACGTGCTCTTTTCATTTCGAATCCCATTGTCCCGTAATTGCCCGTAATTTAAGAACAGATAAGGATAGACTCACCGTTCGAAGTCGTTTTCTTATAATAGGGAACCTTAGAAGTCTTCTTACAACTTTTGTGGAACCATAATCTTTTAGTTGCTCATCTGTTTGAGGTTGGAACCAGAATTTGGAATCTTGGGAATGAGAATAGCTTCTTTCTTTCTTTCTTTATTTTATTAAAGAGGACTTGGTCGGTAAGGTAGAACTATGGTCCGTCACAGCACTGAACTTGAAACAGCCGATTACTTTGATGCACGTTGTGCAATGAAAAAACTGCATATACCTCAACTACCAAGTAGTATTACTTCTGTAAAACTTTTGTTGGAACCTTTGAGGATCTTATAGTCCTAGTTTCAGATAAAAGAGGAAAGGGAGACACTGTAGAACAGTAAATCCTTGAATCAAGAATTCAAGAATATTGAATGCAATTCTTACCATTTTGGCTTGACAAACGTTTAAACAAAGATTCTGAAAATACATTTCTTGACTTTACTATAATTAAACAAACCCTAAAATATCGAAAGTTAGAAGCAAAACAGAATTGTAATCATACTTATTCCTACAAATTTGTGTGTATACATAAAACAACCAAGATTCAAAATAACAATGAATTTCTATTTTATGATTAAAAATACATTGATTGAAATTTCGTAACGTATTTTGCATGAGTATTTTTGTATTTTATACTGAAGTAGATGTCGGCACCAGCGAGCATACACGTTTTGAGGTAATTTCCCGGCAAATAACCTTCAAACATCGCGGATGATACTATCTTAATATCGATAGAAGTTTATTTAACATCTGTAATAATGACGTTCGACAATTCGTGGCATGTGATTAAAACTGCTGCTGCGGAAAACAAGCACGAGTTGGTATTGTCAGGACCAGCAATTTCCGAATTGATTCAGAAAAGAGGCTTCGACAAGTCTTTGTTTAACCTGAACCACCTGAACTATTTGAACATAACGCAAACATGTTTGCAAGAAGTACCAGAAGAAATTGAAAAATTACACAATCTGACGAACTTAGTACTACATTCGAATGAGATTTCGAAAATTCCTAATACGATCGACAAATTAGAGAAATTAAAGTTTCTCGATTGCTCCAGGAACAAGTTGACTTCTTTGCCCGACGAAATCGGACGGCTTCCTCAATTAACTACGATGAACTTGAGCTCGAACCTTTTAAAATCTTTGCCCACTCAAATTGGTAATATAAAATTGAGTGTTCTGGATCTGTCGAACAACCAATTCGAAAGCTTCCCTGATATATGTTTTCCAAATTTGGTTCACGTTTCTGAGATTTATATCAATGGAAATCAAATAAAAGAAATCCCTGTAACCATGAATCAACTTCCACAGTTGAAAATATTAAATGTGTCAGACAATTTAATTTCAGGTAATATTCTGGTTTGATTGTTCTGTTATATTTATTTTGTGAAATTGCTTTTAATAAATGTTCATTTTGCAGTCATACCAGGTGAAATTGCAGATTGTAATAAATTAAAGGAACTTTACTTAAAGGGAAACCCAATAGCAGATAAAAGACTATTAAAATTGGTAGATCAATGTCGTACCAAACAAATAATAGAATATGTCAAGTTACATTGTCCTAGGAGCAGTGGCTCTACTAGTTCCAATACTAAAGCTAAAAAAGGAAAGAAGGGACAAAAATTATCAGAATCTGAAAATAATGCTAACACAATAGAGAGTTTAACTCACATGTTAAAAGTATTAAAAATAGCAAATGATACACCAGTAATTAAAATTACAAAACATGTAAAAAACATTAGACCTTACATTGCATCTTGCATTGTTAGAAATATGAAGTTTACAGATAATAGTTTTAAGAAATTCATTCAACTGCAAACTAAATTACATGATGGCATATGTGAAAAAAGAAATGCAGCTACCATTGCTACACATGATTTCAAATTAATCACTCCTGGTATGATTAAAATTAAAAGGATAAATACCAGTTTACATATCTATTTCATTAATATATTTTATAATGTTTAGGTGACTTAACTTATACTGCAAAAGCTCCCACAGAATTAGAAATTAGGCCTCTAATGCGTAATAATGTTTTTACTGGTGCTGAATTGTTCCAACACTTACAAACAGAAGCTGAAAACTTGAGAAAAGAGAAAAAACGTAATGTGTATTCTGGTATTCACAAGTATCTTTATTTATTGGAAGGCAAACCACTGTTTCCATGTTTACTGGATGCTTCAGAGCAAGTTATATCATTTCCGCCAATAACTAATAGTGACGTTACCAAAATGACTGTAAATACGGAAACAATGCTGGTGGAAGTGACCAGTGCTACTTCATATCAGATTTGCAGGTTAATCTATAGATATAGATCAATATGGATAGATATGTTTGTACTCCTGTTTTACGATACGATTTTATATTTTAACAGGAACGTGTTGGACTACTTTTTAAGGGAACTGACCATCCTCGGTTTCGGATGCCCTACAGAGCAAGAAACTGTTTCCAACTATCACAATTTACTTGTAGAACAAGTGAAAGTAGTAGATATGGATGGTAATATGAAACTGTTATATCCTTCAAGAGCAGATTTAAATTTTGAAGACAAATTAATAACTGTACTGCGAGAATAATAAACCTCTGTGAGTAATTTAATTATTTCATTTTCGTTTGATTTGCATTTTATTTTGATCATTTAATTATTTCTCTCTTGAAATATTTGTTAATGCGTGTCTTTATACAGTGTCATAAACTTTCCATGTAACTTTGTACAAGCACTAGATCATGTTATTAAAGAATATAATACGTGTAACATATTTTATATAGAATGTTTTGATATATACAAATATATATTGTACATTAAGTATGGCACAATATTTTTGTACCGAGAACTCAAAGACTATATTTAATAACAGTAACATCAAACAACCTAACATTCCTGTAACGTTATAGACATCGATAATAAACATTTAAAAGAATCATATAAATCACATTTGAACGCATTATACCACGATACAAAAATCGTAATTTGTAATGTTTTTTTTTTTAATTGGCATATGGAATACCTCAAAAACATTTTGGTACATTTAATAAATGCAATTCGAGGTTCCGATATGGGTGCATGTACGTATTTTAGTAGATATTTGGCTACGATGTTTTCACATTATCTTGTACAGGATATAGCGGTTATCCGCAAGTTCAAATATCAGTGAAAAACCGCCATTTTACAGGCAGCTGACGATATTGGCGCTGTCGTATCGCGAATCATCCCATAGTAAGCCGGTGAAGAATTCTCATCTGTTTTTATAAATATTGTACTTTGTTTCGTGTATCTCGATACAGTGCAAATAGTAAACGTCGCTGATGTGAGACATTTTCGTTCACTTTAGTAAGCATCATCGTGAAAGTTTCATCCTAGACTATTTTAACAACAGGAAGAAATTCGTACGAATCTTCTGAACTTTCCCAACATGCGCGAATGTTTGAAGTGTTAACATGGCGCCGAAACATGACTGGTCATGACGGGGGAATAAGAACGAAATTTTTGAGGTTAGTTAATCATTTTGTCATTAAGTATTTTCGCATCCCGTTAATTTGTTATTTAGCCACGTTAATCTAACTGGTACCACGATAAAAATGCGTGCGATGTACATTTGGCAGAATTTTAATGTCTGATATTGCAAAGAACACGTGTCACACTGTATAATTTGTCCATTGTTTTTATAATAATTTAGTGTAACGTTTCCGATAGTAATAATAGATATGTTATAAATATCACATAGAACAAATGATATTTGCTTTGTTTGTTTCGTTGCTTACTTTTCGTAAATTTTATCGTAAAGTCCATATTACATAGTCTGTTGCAATATTATACAAATTTCTATGTTATTCGATCTTTTCACATCACTTTTATATGTGTTTTCCGATAGACTGGATATCATTTCTCTGATTTGACACAGTAGTGCGTGTTTTAATTTTAATATTTATTAAAAATTCGTTGTAACAATGAGTGAATTAACATGCATATATAATGAAAAATATGTTTGTGTGTGTAACATTAATATCTAATGCTCATTAATTTTAATGTATGTAAGATTGATATGACTCATTCTATATGCTTTATTCATATATAATAAACGTATTGATAATATGCTTATAATACTTTGTATTGATACTTATGGTATAATAAAAATTATGTCAACACTATATCAGGGACAAAAATATTTATTAAATATCTTCTTGAAACTTTTTACATCATCCACGGCAGATTTTTATACTATAGATACATTAAGTAACGAACAATGAAGTACAATAAAAAATATGATACTATTATACATAGTATATAAAATGCTGAACTATAAAGTATATTCTTCTAAATTACATTTAAACATTTCAAAGATAGTAACATCAATTATAGTTATTGAATTTTTTCTAATTGTACTACATCACTACAAAAACATATTCCAAAAAATCATTAACTTATAAATATTTTATTATATAAAATAGCCTATTAAATATAAAAATATACGAGACACGAAAATGGTATGTGATAGGAATTTTAATGTTTAATGCTTTGAGCAGTAAGAATATGCATTTTGGTCACACCTTACCCAGTGTGCTGTAGTATATTCTGAATTTGATGCCAAAGCAATACTAAGGCCAATGCAATGGAAACACTGCTCAAAGAGTTAAACTTTCTCAAGACTTAGTTGTACTAAAATATAACATAATGCTTGTAGCATGCTTGTTGTTATTAAAATAGAGATAAAACAGTGATTGGCACTGTATATATCTGTTTCATATTAAAATACTTGGTGAAGCCTAGCTTTGAATGTGGCACATTTAATTTTTAGATTAACTTGTAAAAAAGAAAATGTAAACACATGTTTGCATATAATAAATGGTAAATTAGGAAGATCACTTAATCACATTTAATTTGACTAGGAAATACTGAATAGTGAAACAACTTAATTTGCTTTTAGCCGCTCTTGCCTCTCCTTCAGATCAATTATGCTCAAATTGATACATGCTACATATCCATGTAACAGTGAAATACCAGTTTTGATTAATGCTATGGGTGCAGAGATGCACATAATCAATCTGAACAAACTTATACCAGCAACTGAAAAAAATAATACATATTATTTTTCATAATTCTCTAAGTCTTAGTATTAATAATATGTGTCTATTTAACTTACAAATAGGTCCTTCGGTAAAGTAAAGGAGGTACAAAGCAGCATAAAAGGCTTCATTACCAGCACACATAAAAAACAAAACTATACGATTAGTGTAATATGTACTCATAATTGGGTTTTCAGACATATCAATAAATTTGTGGCTGGTTTTTCCTTGCAAAAGAGATCTAAAAAGTGATAACATAATTGTAGTAAATATTTTATCTCCTTTTTATCTTTATATAGTTATTATGATATATATTCTTACGTATGCAAATATATCCAATGGCAAGCAATATCAATGGCCATGCTTAATTGAAGCCAAAATGTATACGATGGATAAAGTACACATAATGTAGCCATTAAACACATGGTACCAACACGATCAGTTAATTGATCAAGCATAGCACCAAACTTGGTACCTTGATTAAAGTATCTTGCTGCATGACCATCCACTGCATCTAGTAGTGCACTAATAATGTAGCACCATGATGCAATGACATGGTTAGTTGGCATAAAATAAAAGGATATAAGAGCCAAAATCACTCTGCCATAGCCTGTTAACATACACATATTCTCTCTATATCCATATTTCCAAACACACGTATTCTTTATTTCTTAGTTATTTTGGCATTAAGAATACTTGAGATTTTTACAGAAACTAAATTAAATGTTTTATTAAAATTATGGTATTAGTTGAATAATTACACTTTTCAAATGTATATGGTGTTATATAAAACAGTCGACTAGTAGATTAGTATAAATCAATATAGGAAGTCTTTGAAATGCTGTACTTCCAATCTCTTCTTTTATCATACCCCTTATATTAAAAAAAAACAAACTAAAAGTACAAATGTGCGCATACTATGAATATCGTATTGTTTTTAACTATTACTTACATGAATCTAACAAATATGCACAACATTTTATCATGTATAAGAGATTTATAGTTAGCTACAAAGTCGTTACCGAGATACTAAAACGTAAATATTTATTTACCAATAATGTTGGGCACAAACACGAAAATATTCTCAGATTCAGTCATTTTGCCGCTTCCGAATGTTTCTCACTGTTTGTAAAATGTACTTGTAACGGAACCAGTTATCTGTAACCAAGTGTAAGGATTTATCTGTTATCTGTGGTCGTTCGTGTCAAGTAATATTTTATTATTCTTAATTTAGGAAGGTTACTTTGCAACTCTCCGTATAGTCTTCTGCCACTGTGCTCTCTTCGAGTTAATCTGAATTACCGTGGAGAAGTGCGTGACAATATATAACGTCAATGAATTGATAGAATCGACGATCGTATCGCATCATAGTCGCAAGTTCGAGATATATCGATTCCAGTGACGCATAAAGTAGTCACACAGCCACCAGTGTTGTATCAATTGATATTTTTATAGGTTCAGTGACAATTAAAATTTGTTTATGTGGTGCAAATTTCCAAACGTTACATTTATTGTACAATAAAATTCTTACGCAGATATGTAATCTTCAAAAGTAAAAATTGATCATTTGTTCGATAGTGTAACAAAGGCTGTGCAGGCCTGTGCGAGCTAAGAAAACAAAGTCCCTCGAATTAAACAAAAACATCTTATTTTACTTTAATAATTAATTTTGTTTAATATTGCACCAAATTTTGAGAGAAGAATTAAATTTTTTCTAAAAGATACCAAACTATATATTTTAGTACTCAGGCCACAGAATAACTAGTTACGCCACCGCTTTTGTTGCAAAGTTTCCTTGACATTATAAAACTACACTTCCTCGAACGAATTTAGATCTTGATACAACAAACTATCATGAAAACACGCTCGTTCGTTCTTGGCAATCCGTTTCTTCGATTTTAGTATACAATCGTTTCGATTTGCTTGTAAAATAGTAGTTGCTGAAGACAACTTGACGTTTAGCTACGCTCCTGAAGCCAGACGACATTTTCGGAGGCTAAACGGTTGGTCCGCCGTTTCTCTGCGCAAAAGCGATCGTTTATTGTGTCGCGAGAAAACTGTCTGTGCAGGTTTACGTCAGTTTGCCCGTAACTTCTTTTCGATGTGATAAACTGAGAGCAATTTTCATCGGACAATAGTGAAATCGAACGAGGCGTTTCAGTGTTAAAATTTATTAACCGTACGGACGGACTCGGGACATCGTGCTATGAAGTTTTGGGTGGGCTACTTTTCTTTCGCTCGGATACAATTTATGTTGTATTTGAAATAAATTTCATTGACAGAATCTCGTGTTTTCCTTTGGCTCGAGTGTCTCCGTAAAAGGCAGTCCACTTAGCTTTTGTGTTGTCGTGAGAAAGTGCACGGACAGAAGTAACATTATGCGATCGATAATTCACCGAGGATTTTGGAATACGCTTCGATGATCCGATCAGGCTACTTGTGACTCGGTGATACGTTTTCACTTGTCAGTGAAATGTTTGAAAAGTGATATTCAGAGTCTTCCGAGACTCATGTACGAATGAATAGTGACAAGAACGAACTA